GATGCCTGCTAAATGAATGTTTGATCAAAACGGAAAATAGGGCGTGTACTACTCCTCGCTTGCACTCCGGGCGATATCCTCAATTTGTCGTGCGTTGATGTAGACTATCAAGGAAATTAAGAGAAATTATTTGCTTGGACTTAGACTTGATGCTGAAGGTATAAATATATGGCTGCTTATAAGTGCTAAGGGTCGAAAATTCATCCAAATAATCCCTTATTTACTAAACCAAAGAGAGGAGATTGATGACAATGGAAGGACGTGGTTCTCCTAGCCCTTAGCACTTGTCCAAATCTTATGAACTTTATAATGACTAAGCACCTTCAAGACTTGACAAATTGCTTGATATCATTGGTGGAAAATCCTTTCCTCCACCTAAAGAAACCCACGACAATTTCTTAATTTTTTTTTTTTTCAAAATTGCTACTAGCTCACGACAAACTAGGCTTCTTAACACTAATTGTGATTAATTTGCTAATTAACCACTAATGTTATGTTTAATTGATAATTAAACATAGTACTTAATTACCAAAAATTATTTCGGACGTAAACGGTACGCCGAAAATAGATTTCGGTAATTCCGACTGAACTTAATTAATTCCGAAAATAATAAACGATAACGTTACTATATCGGAATTAAACGTACTTTATACCGATAATATCTCGGGATATTACAGTTTTCCTAGAGTAAGTAGTTTAGTCTAATTAGATTAGGACTAGATCTTTATTTTGAGCCTTATAAATAGGCGTGTCTTGTTCTAAAATAGATATAATTGATTCTTCTTAATACAAAAATCGAACTTTGTTCAAATCTCTTGCTTTAGTTTACGATTAAGTGTTCTATTGCAAATTATCATTCGAAGGGGCACGAGTGTGTGAACCTCCGAGCACAGCTCACTTCACTCGGTCGCTCCGCTTCCCTCGCTACGTTCGCTCCGTTACGCTCGCAGGCATCCGCCTGCCCTCTTCCTTTGTCAATATATGAGCCATACCAACAGGGCTAATATATGCTGAATTGTATTAAGGAAAGTGGGGAAAAATTCCATCCTTTCAACTTATATATATGCCGTGGGAGAAGAGATGGTGAAGACGTTATTGAGGCGTGGCCTAGCTAGGCATTTAGCACTTGTCTCCTTTAGCATAAGCTTAAGATGATTAATCCACATACCTTATTTCTCCTAAGGACACGTAGAACTTAAAGTAAGGGAAAAAAAAATTCTTCCTTAAGTATTAAGAGAGTTTAGAAAAATTGAAACCTATATAGTACGGCAATTGGGACATTTAAGCCACGGCTTAAGACCTTGATTGTAATTAATTAACATTAATCACGTAGTTTATGTTTAATTTTTCAATTAAACATAATGCTTAATTACCAAAATTATTCCGAACGTAAACGGTACGTCGAAATTGAATTTCGGTAATCTCGACTGAACATGATTAATTCCGAAAATAATAAACGATAACATTATTATATCGGAATTAAAATATAATTTATACCGATAAAATATCGGGATATTACATCTCCTCTCGGGTCATCGTCACCATTTGCTGAATGGGGGCTTGTACAACTGCCTGTGGTGGCGCTCCTCCATGCGCCATCGCTCCTCCTTGCACCATCGTTGGATTTGGTGGTGGTGGTGGCATCACTGCCGCAGCTGCTGCACGAGTCTCCTGGGCCCGACTGGGGCCGGCATCTCCTCTGGGGATCGCCGTCGTCACTCCCACACCTTGAAGGATAGGCGTCGGAGTGATCGGTGTCTGCGATGGGCCGGAAAACCCGGAGGAGGGCCGTGCCCCAACGGTCTGGTCGTCGTCCAAGCTTCATCGAACATTGACTGCAAGTTTTTCGGAATTCCGTCTGCCATAGCTGAGCTTCAAACACAACTTTTTAACGAAATTCCCCACAGACGGTGCCAATAATGCAAGTGTAAGCGTCCTGGTCCGGTTTGGAGTGGATCGATCTTTGTCCTCGCCGGTAGAACGCCGGAAACCTGCAAGTAACTCTCACACCGGGGGTTGTGTCCGGTGAAGAGCCTCTGATGCTTAAGTCAGTATGTGTATGAGTATACTGAAGTGAAGAATGAATAGAATGTGTCCAAGGGAGAAAGGCTCACCCCCTTTATATAGGGGTGAGATACCTGCCCTAATAGCTGCCCGGATAAGGATGAGTTGGCTGCCCAAGCTGCCCGTCCGTACTCGGACACGCCGCGCACATGTCAGAGGTGGTGCAAGGCGTTGGGAGCTGTCAGAGGTGGTTATCGCTATCACCCAATACATTCTCGACACGTGTCCTCCTGCACATGGTGTAAATATTCTCCTAGAATTCAGCTGGAAGCTCTCACACGCGCCCTTGACTAGGCCGATCTGTTGAGCATTAAGTCTGCGAGATGCTCGACCTTCTGAGGTCGATAGGATCGCTCGATCGTTTGTTTGGTCGAGCGAAGGGTTGGTCGACTGTTTGACTGGTCGACAAGTTATTTTGCTCGATCTTCTCCTCGCCTGGCTCGATTCCGTCATGGTATGACCCTCTAAACCGGTTCAGCGGACCGGTTTAGCCTTGTGCATATAATATCCCATATCAGTAGAAAATTCCTGAACTTTTGTTCAAACACTTTGCTTTAGTTTTCCACCAAAATTCTATTGCAATTTTATTCATTTTAAGAGGCGCGATTGTGGCTCGAGAAGCACCTATCGGCGATTCAAGGCGTGGGCAAGCGGCTTATTGGCAGTCGGGACACGCGATCTTCATC